TGTTCTTGAGAATTTCATTGATTTTGATAATAAATTCATTGTTTAAGATGTTATTTTGGCGATTTGATCGCACGAGCAAGTCCATATGATTTTTTAGACTTGTGTGCATGTTTGGTTTGGAGTCCCGAGGGCTCGGGTGAGTTTTGGATAGGCCACATAGTGTTTTGAACTTAAGAAAAACTTCTAGTGTGTTTCAGGTTGCGAAGCCTGGCACGCAAATGCGAGCATCGCATTTGCGATAAAAAAGTTGGGCAGGGGACCTTCGCAATTGCGAAGTTCATTATCGTATTTGCGATAATCGCAAGCCTGAGCATTCTTCGCAATTGCGATATAATGTTCGCATTTGCGGGGTTCGCAATTACGAACCCCTGATCGCAAATGCGATAAATGCGACTGTTCAAAAAGAGCTTTAGACGGGATTTCAACTCATTCTTTCAAATTTTCAAACCCTAAGCTCTCATAAGCGATTTTCCAAAGAAAAGTTCTTCCCCAAATCATAGGTAAACAATTTCTAACTCATTTTTTTCAATCTACTTCATCTTTAACAAAATTTCACCACAAAATCTAGGAATTTTCATGGGAAATTGGGTGTTTTGGGTAAAATTCGGGAATTTAAACCACAAATTGAGGTCGGATTCCCAAACCAATTGCATATTCGGGCTCGGGGGTGAATGGGTTAATTGGGTTTTTGTCCGAACTTCGGGTTTTGACCAAGCGGGTCCGGGGTCAATTTTTGACTTTTTGGGAAAAATGATAGAAAGCCTATAATTAAGCATTGGAGTTGAATTCTTTAGCATTTGTTGATGTTGTTAAGTTAATTATAGCTAGACACAAGTGAATTGGAGGCGAAATCTAAAAGGAAAACGGTATTTGAGGCTTGAGTTTGGCCGTGGAATTCGAGGTAAGTGTTTGGCCTAACCGTAGCTTGAGGGAATAGGTGTTGTTGTCTTATTTGCTACGTGTTAGTATTGAGTACGACGTATAGGCATGGTGACGAGTATCTATACGTTGGTGTCGAGCATGCCCGTAAGTCTTATACTGTGACTGTTGTGGCTCTTATTATGTACTGTCTCTGCTTAAATTGATGATTATCCATGTTGAACAAGACTTATGATAATTTCTTAGTAATTGACCATTGTTGAGTATTGGCTCAAGTTGAGATTTATTTTTGTGAAGTTAATTGTTGACACGAGATTGGTTATAGCTAATTTCCTTGTCGGGATGTTATTGTTTCTATTGTTGATTCTCTTGCCGAGATGTTATTGTTTCCTGTTTGGGTGAGGAAAGAGTGATAAAACACGAAGGGTGATGCCGTGCACATTCATTCTTATGCATATGGTGAGGAAAGAGTGATAAAGCACGAAGGGTGACGCCGTGCACATTTACATTTATATTGATACGTACGGCGAGGAAGAGAGATAAATCACGAAAGGTGATGTCGTGCACATTTATACTATTCATATGGTGAGGAAGAGTGATAAAGCACGAAGGGTGATGTCGTGCACATTTCTATTACTGATTCCATGGTGAGGATTGAAAGTAAAAGCACGAAAGGTGATGCCGTGCATTTTCTGTTTGCTGTGTTCATTTGCTATTATCGGTTCAAGTGTTTTAACTGTTTAAATTTCTTTACTGCTGTAATTCTTTATGTTGAAACCCCATAGCATGTTGCCTCTTCCCGTACATTTCTGCTTAGTTTTTATTACTTGTTACCCTGTTATTATTCTGATTAACTATACAGGTTTATGATGTTTGTCGTGTTCTAGCCTCGTCACTTCGCCGAGGTTAGGCTCGGCACTTACCAGTACATGGGGTCGGTTGTACTGATACTGCATTCTGCATTTTTTGTGCAGATCCCGGTACTGGACCATACGGACGTAGTTTGAGGTTGCTGCTTTCAGTCCAGTGAAGACCCGAGATAGTCCTGCAGGCGTCCACAGGCCTTGGCGTCCCCTTCTATCATATTTCTTTTCTGTTTATCTACTTTTGAACATATGTACATTTCCTTGTTTAGACCATTGTTTATAGTATTCGTAGACCGTCCGTGAGATTGTGACACCAGTTCAGGGTGGAGTTTTATTATGGTTTCGTATTTGTATTAAGTTAATATGTTAAATTATGTTCTTCCGCATTTTGTTTCCGCTGATTTTCTTATATTAACTAGTAAATTGTTAAAAGATAAGGGAAAAAGGTAAAATAATCAGTAACATTGGCTTGCCTAACGGGTACAATGTTAGGCGCCATCACGATCCCGATGGTGAAAAATTCGGGTTATGACAAGTTAACTTACCAAATTTTATGAATTTATTGAGATAATATTTTAATTTTTATGCAGACAAATTTAATTCTATGAATTTAGGTAGTAACAAAAAATAATATTTTACTTCATCGAGGTGATCAATTTGACTGAGGATGTTACTTACCTCACTTAATTAAAGTGTAAATTTCGAGCATTGGCTTGACAATATTGCTGAAGTGGTTTACCTCGTTAATCGACGGTGAAAGTATCGCTTATACACATCTTTAATAGGTCCTACCATACAAATGTATATACTAATGTATACTTCTAGAATTTTAATCAACTTGCTGATTTGGTTATTTAAGAATTTCAAGCAAGTGTTTAAATATGATAAGAATCCCAATATACTTAGAATTAGGGGATGATCTACCTACCAAATTGAAGATTTACGAGTTTAATTTCTAACACATTAAATCGTTCATTAATATGATATCGGAGTAGTAACTGTATGAAAGGTTTTGGACTTCTGGGTACGTACCCCGTCTCTCCTTCATTTCATGTTTAAATGTTGTTAAAAGTAATAATATTTATTATTATACGCAGTCGTATTTAGCTATTTTAAAATACATAAGAAAATAAGTTAATATTCTATTATGGATATATGAAAATGCAATAAAAAAGAGAGACAGATTTAGTAGTAGGTTTTTACATTCTTACTTTATTTAAAAATAAAGCTGGGTGCCACCATATTCCCAATAGAATAAATTGAAGTAGTTCTCTGTTGTCGAAATGAAAAGAGAAAATTTTCAGATGAAAAAGAAAAGTAAAAGGTAAATTGACTTAAGTTTAGAAGATAATATTAATAATACCATATCCCAGTAATTATAACCATAATTAAGTTGCAAAATATGAGGTTGATCCCCCCAAAAATACACCACTCTTGACCCTATTACAATTAATCTTACAATCATCGAGCTATTATAAATTATCCGTGAACCATTCTATTTCCAAATACCATGGTGTTTTCTTGATGAATATTTGAATAGAGGATTGTATTGTCCAATCTTTAAACACAAAAAAAAAAAAAAAAAAAAAAAATGTGACAACAAATGCACACCGACAAAATGCATGGATATTGAGATTATTTAACGGCATAAGTTATAAGTGCATGAATTAAATTTGTCAATTCTATTGCAACTTACTCAAGAATTTCATCCCTTATGGGTGGTTTTGTTCCAAAAATAATGTCCTATGTTGATGTCTTGCATCTAAAAAAATAGAAGATTATCATTATCTCTAATGGAGCGAACAGAAAGATAATAAAAGGTTTCTAATAATTGGACTTGCACAAAACCTCAGGCATTTCAAATGACATTTATGAGTTACTGGAAGAAAACAACAACAACAACAACAACAACAACAACAACAACAACAACAACAACAACAACGACCTTGTATAATTCCACAAGTGGGGTCTGGGGAGGATAATATATACGAAGAAAACAACGGTAATACAAATCTATTGATTTCTTGCAGCTATGAAAAACAGAAAATAACGTAGCATCAATATTTCTAAAGGAGCAAAAACACGTATATCTAATAATAATAATGGAGCTGAAAATAGAAAGCCATGAAATTCACTAACAGATACAAAACCAAGCTAAATATGAATCTCTATATATAATGGTGCACTATTATTTTATGTTTAATGAGGAAGAACCAGCTGTTCAATTCTCTTATTAAGTGATGAAGCGTTTTAGTTTTCAAATTGATTATAGAATTGATTTAGTCATTCGTTTTAGTTTCTATAGTCATAATTTAAACCTTCCATAAATAACAATATTAAGGATGCCATAAACAGGGGCGGATGCAGCATAGAACTACTGGGTTCAACTGAACCCAGTACTTTCGACGCGGAACATACATTTATGTGTAAAAAGTTATTAAAATTGTATAAATAGTAGATAACGAACCCATAACTTTAAACGCTGAACCTATAGAACTAAAATTTTAGATCCGCCTCTGGTCATAAATATGATATGTTTAATATTCTACAGATTTTTTAGTCACCAAATAATGGATAAAAGCCAAAAAAATGAGAAAAAAGATAGAGGACTTTCTTGAGCTATAAGAGGTGCCACATCACCTTTTTTTAATCCCTAGCTTTATATAGATAGACGCATAGATAGATTAAATCCTCTGACTAACATTTGAATATTATTATTCATCTTTAATATTTAAAAATATCATCCAAACGCTTTCTGATATTATTATTATTATTATTATTATTATTATTATTATCATTATTATTGACCTTATCAAAAATTCTGGATCACTCACCAACCAATTACCAAAAAACAGTTACCAATTTTTTTCCTAAATAACTTCCTGTCATACCAAATACATTTTACTCTAATTACTCATCAAAATACTCAGTTCTTTTTCTCCTTTTAGTGTTTATGAGAGACCATCATATATTGATGTATTTACTTATCATTTTATAAAAGCAAGAGATCGAGCTAAAGCTAGGAGAAATTGAGGTAGGAATGGTGCCTTGTGTGTTTTTTTATCTTTAGGATTCCATTGCCATACATCTCCCATAAATAAAAAAAACAAAGATTGTGGTGGGTTGATAAGTATCCTTCCATTCTTTAACCATCAAAGCGGGACTTCCCCGCACGAATTCGAACTAGTCAGATCCCAATGTGCATACCGACACCGAGTGGAAAAAAAGGAGAAGAAATAGCACAAGAAAGAAGGAAGCAGGAATATACCAAGCTAAATATTCTTTTTAGAACCACAAATAAGAAGGCAGCAACTGCTAGTTTCACTTCCTTAACAGTTTATGTTTCTACTGTACAATCACTAACAGTATGTAACTATGTATATTGTGAAAAAAGTCGCTTCAGAATAGTGTTAAGTAACCATTTAACTGTAAACCTCCATTTCTTGGCTTGTATTTTCCTGTACTGTTAGTCTCACTGGTGCTCAGCATCATGAGCTTTCAAACGGCTAATGTCTCCCCTAAATGAAGGGTAGAGAGGGCGAGATCTCCTGAAAGAGAAAATATCTTCAATCTGGACGACGTTAGGTTCAACAGGATCAACTTTCTCCGCCTTGAATTCAGAAGAATGTGAGCTTCCAAAGACTTGTAAGCTTAATGACTTTCTTTTAGGAGCGCCAACGTTCACATATTCGTTAAAGAAATCGACCAGGTCTGTTTTGGTTATCAGCTTCAGTGCTGCAACCTATTTCATGAATGTTAAATAGCAAGATCTAGTTATATATGATACAACAGATGTCAAACTTAAAATTCTTGTTTCAGAAAGAAGAACGTCGAGACAATTACCCACCTTTTGAACTCCCAGAAATTAGTAAGAGGGGACAAAAGAATAATCTATGCGGACATTCAGTATTCAAAATCAATAATAACATTCCCTCTAAGAATCCAGCATCTTTGTAAGCTATTTCGTTCTAGTTTGACTTAAAAGGTGCCCAACACCGACCCCCCAACTCCCAGCCCCCCACCCCGGCCGAAAAGGGAAAACAAGGAAATACTCCCTCGTTCTAATTTATATGACATGGTTTGACTCGGTACGAAGTGGGCATACCAGGATGGATAAGAATAGGAATGAAGATATTCGGGCCAAAGCGGGAGTGTCCCCGGTGGAGGACAAGATGTAGAAAGCAAGGCTTAGATGGTTTGGGCACGTGAAGAGGAGAAACACAAATGGAACCTCATGTAAATACCATGGAATAGGGAGTGTCCCCGGTGGAGGACAAGATGTAGAAAGCAAGGCTTGGATGGTTTGGGCATGTGAAGAGGAGAAACCCAAATGGAACCTCATGTAAATACCATGGAATTTGGAAATTGGATGTAGTTACTAATTCATGATTTGGCATGTACAGAATGAAAACTTCATGCTCAATTCTACGAGAATTTTTGTGAAAGCCTTTCATTTGCTTCTCTTCGATGGAAGTTTGATTTTCCCAGAATGTATCCTAATTTTTGGCAAATGCCCCGGTAAGGAGGTGTGAGAGGTTGGCCCTGGTGGGGCTGAGAAGAGGTAGAGGTAGGCCAAAGAAGTATTGGGGAGAGGTGATTAGGTAGGATATGGCGTTGCTTCGGCTTACCGAAGACATGACCTTTGATAGGAAGGTGTGGATGTCGAGAATCAAGATAGAAGGCTAGCAGGTAGTCGAAAGTATTAGTGTTAGTCATGTATTCCATTATTGTTAGATTTCTATTATTACTTGCTGTTCTTTTCGCTTCATTTTCATACTATCTTGTTGTTGTTAATGCTTGATGCTACTGCTTTTCTTTTCGTCTCTCGTGAGTCGATGGTCTATCGGAAACAGCCTCTCTACCTTCAAGGTAGGGTAAGGTCTGGGTACACACTACACTTGTGGTATTACACTGGGTTTGTTGTTGTTGTTGGTTTGACTCGGCACGGAATTTAAAAAAAGAAAACTTTGAAACTTGTGGTCGCAAATATTGCATAACATTGTGTGGCTATAAAACTTTTGAAACTTGTAGTCTTAAGCATACCATAACAGGCTATAAAAGCTTCTCATTAATGATAAAATCATGGAAAGTTTAAAGTTAAATTGTTTCCAAATATAGAAGTGTATCATTCTTTTTGAAATGGACAAATAATGAAATAGTGTGACATAAATTTAAATTGGAATGGAGAGAGTGCATAGGATAATCTTCTTTTAGCTATCAATTCAATTCAAAGAAATTAAACTGGCTTGATATGGCAAAAGAAAGCTCATACCTCATTTTCAATTCTATCAAATCTGAGTGTGCCACCAGAAATTTCCCACCAGAAAAAATTGGTTTCCTCTGATAAGTTTTTAAACTTCTCGAGCTTAATATCAATAAGAGCATTGACTTTTCTCTGCATCATATAAAAGACCAAAATCTCAGTGGGCGAGACAACTATGATATTTAAGATTGCAGACAAGTGATCAATTGATCTTGACTTTATTGCTTTGTTACTAATGGGTTTATTCCAAAGATACTAATAGAAGAAATATAAATGTATAGAAGAAATATAATAAAGAAACTTATGTATGCAGCCACACTGACTAATCATTTTCTAAGTACTACATGATGCTTATCTTAAGTCATTTCCCTGTAGCTATTTCTCAAAATATTACTTTTCTGAGAGTTGTCACAATGATGCCATTGTGTTGTTGACAATCTTTTAGTAACGGTGAAGTCCAGCCCAGCTTGTGGGCAACCAGACTATTTCACTGCGGTACCGGCATTATCTCACAAGTACAGGTATCCGGTAACTCTGCCGACCTAGGCCTTTTTTTTTGGCCTTCCCTGGGATTCAAACCTTGACAATGATACCAATTCAAGAAGCAAATCTTAAAGGAGATTCAATATTTGACCTTAAACTCATCATCTGGCATGTCATGAAGCTGACTTTCCAACATCTTGAGAAATGCCTGGAATCGCAACTCGATATATCTTGGATCCTGGTTCATCATTAATGTCTCATATTGAAAGCATAAGGATTTTTATATCTTTCATTTGTTGGCTTACATAGAGATGATATGATGTATTTACCTTGACTGACGATTGAACTATAAGCTGCATTCCGCAAACACCAGCATCACTCCTACAGTTTTAACAACATTACCTTGCTTTCAGCAGTGAAAGAAAATTAAATAGACGTATTGCATATTTCCCAAGAGCAAATACATTCATAGAGAATTTAAAAGAGAAGTGTTGGCATACGTCCGCGAAAGTGATGTAATATAACCAAGCTGCTCAACAGATCTAAGCTGGTCGAAAGCTGGTTGCTTAGCTATGAGAACAAATAGTTGCCGTTTTACATTTTTGATGTATTCATCTGGATGCGTCTTCAAAACATAGAATAAGATAAACCATATTAGCAGGAAGAAAAAAGATGGTGAAACTCATAAAAATCCAATTAAAAAGATAAGATATCCAGCAGATTAAGGTTGTTCAGTTGGAAAGTTTCGCACTTTGTTCATTATAAGCTTTTCTGACAGCTTCTTCTTAAGTACATACAAATTATTTGTCTAGCCACAAGTCAATAGAATGGTCCAGATTAACTGGTTTGATGATTTTGAACATTTTAGGTATTAAATTCCTAAAACAAACTTCGACTAGTTTTGATCAGTTAATTCTTGCTATTTCTATTTAACTGTTCTAACAATACTTATTGCAACAGGAGTTTATTGCTAAACAAAAGGAACAACCCATATAAGGGGTAAACAAGAAGTGCAAAGTTTTGCACAGAAATACGAGTTTGCTCGTGAGGCATCCAATCATATATATGATGTAACTGCTACAAAAATATCATTAGAAAAAGGAACAAACGGAGAAGAGAAACAAAAGTTGTAACTTCACGTGTACCTGAATGTAATGGACAAGAGCAGAATTTTCGTCAGACGTATTTAGGCCCTCTGTAGCGTAGAAGTAATTCTTGCTCTCTTCAAGCTTTATAATTCTACTTGACGGATGCTCAGACGCAAATAGGGCCCGAGATAGAGGCTGGGCACCCTTGTAAAAGGCATCTTCAATGTGCTGGATCATTGAGACTGCTTCCTTTGAGTCGATGTTTCCTGAAAAGGGATGATTAAAAGGGTGAATATGCTAAACAACTGGAAAATATCCTAGAAAAATCTAGTAGGAAAGAAAAACTAACCTGCTATGTAGCACTCCAGAAACGTCCTTGATAGCAGCAGAGGATAAAACTTAACAAGGTCATCAACTTCAAGATTAGGAAGGACTTCAAGTTCATCTTTCCATGACCATGCGTGTTCCCGAAGTATTAATGAACAGTAGTACAACGCTTGCTCGTATGGCTGTTGAAACTTGAAATTTTGATATTGCTTTATGAACAATTCCTGTCACAAGATAAAAACAGTCCAAGAGAAGGAACTATCAGTCTACAGCTTTGGATTCAAAATGTCAGCAAACTGCAATCACAATGATTGTTCAATTGTTACTACATTATTAACAAAACCACGTCAAGCTAAGCATCTGGAACAATTAAAAATATAAAAGCTTCAGCGCCATATGCTTTTTAACCAAAAATTGAACTCAGCACAAAACACAAGAAGTTTTCAAGCCATCTCATTTAGTTTTTAGTGTTTATGAATACCTAACTGTAGAAGTAAATATAGCTGCAAAGAGACTGAAAAATATAGTAGTCACAAGTTTTAGACCACATTGAATTTATCAAGAAGAGGACAGTTAGTAAAATCATGGAAGTCTTTTGTCCTGACAAGATGCTAAAACATTGGAAGCAACACTGACTGAAGAACATAGAGACTCAATCATTCGTGCTGCAGTCACACATCAGAACTAAAGCTAAATATAGCTCCAGCTAGGTGTATTTCTTTAATATTCAAAGATACAACTGATTAAACAGAAAATAGTTTCTGGCAAACCAGCCAAAGATGCACTCAGTATTGTCTGAGGCATAAATGCACCAAGCCAGCCAAAAACGCACTCTTTGATGTAGGTGTTGAGTATACAAGCTGAATGCTCATAACGAGTGAAGAAAACAAAGAAAATATGCCCAACCGGATAACATGAACATGAAAGTTCCTAACAGAGTTCAAGTCCCTCAAATGAAATGAGAAAATTTCTTACACCATTTTAAGCAGGCCTAGATCCCAATAATCAATAAAAATGTGCCACACTATTTTTAGCAGGCCTAGATCACATAACATAACACACTAGCTAACTCCCTGCAGGAGCAATTTAATTCAGATAAAATTAGATGCAAGGATTACCATAAAACGATCTAGTCTTCAGAATTTGAATCAGGTTGAACAATAAAAAGACTTGAAAGAATTCCGTAAGGGATGAAAATAGACCCCTTACCTTGATAACAAAGAATCTGTCAGGTTCAACTTTGAAATTGGTAATCTTATCAATAACTTTTTCCACTAAGACCCTCATTTTATGATTATATCCAGTCACAGTCACCTGAAAGGGAAGCAAATCAAAGTGGGAGCGTACAATTATTACAATGTCCTAAAAGTGATTGCACACATGGAATAGGAAAAAATGACAATAATTCAAGAAGCCGAATGAGCATGATGCTTTCCCAAAGTGCAAACAAGAATAAAAAACCTTATAATAATCCAACCAAAAAATTTAGTTTTTCTTTAAATTTGAAAACACATAAGTTGGGGAGGG